AGATTATCTTTATTTTGCTTTTTGGGGACTGAGAAGCAGAATCTGGAGCACAGAGAAGCTAAAGCCTACGGTTGTGCTTCAGGGAGATATAAAGTTTGAATCAAAGAAGAGGCAACTTCTAAAATAAGAACAGTTTGGAATTTTGCTATTAGCAATTTTTGGCGATGTAGCTTTGCTTATTTCTTGAGCTGATTCAAACTGAAGCAAGGATTAGTGTCCCATTTCCAGTACTGCCTTGTCCACGTGCAGAATTTATTTTACATTCCTGCTTAAAGAAAATGGACTTTTGACATTGCAACCATTTTTGAATTAAGGTGGCTAAAATAAACTAACTGGGGAAAAAAAATGCATGAAAAAAATCCAGAATCTATTACTCCTGTGGAACTGAAATTTCAAGGACCTTCAGACCAGTTTTATTTGCAAAGTTGTGGCTGTTGCAGCTTTCCCGTGACCATGTGATTATGCTTTCCAATGCTCTCTGGATAGCTTCTCACAAGCAAAGTGATTGGGGAAGCCAGCAGGAAGTCGGAAATCACTCCTGCTCATGCTGCTTTTTTGCTTGTCTGTGGTCTTTCGCTTTATCTGCTTAGGTAAGCAAATATTGACTTATTGTTGAAGTGGAGCACAGTGACTCACATGGTTAGGATGCTGGGTTGGAGCTCCCAAACGGATGTCCCCCAGGCAGCCCTGATGTCATTGGCTAATCCTTTCAATCCAAAAGCACCTCAGTGCTTCTGACACAAGAGTGATGCAATGCAATGAAAGTTCCACTACCATTATTTTTCTATCTATGATAAATACCCTTAGGCAGGGGTGTCAAACTCAATTTCACTGAGGGTCGCATCAGCATTGCGGTTGCCCGGGGGGGCAGGTGGGTGTGGCCAGAGTGGGTGCAGCCTAATGGGTGGGCGTGGAAGGAGTGGGTGTGGCCTACTGGGTGGGCATGGCCAGCTCTACATCATTTGTGTCGAGGGTGCGTGTGGGGGCCTGGGCAGGAGTGGGACAGATCTGAGGGTCTCTGGCAGAAGGGGGTGGGACCGGGGCAAGTGCAAGGCATGGTCCACCGGGGCAAGTGCCAAGATGGCCACCACAAAATTGTACATTGGCTCCCGGCTGGCCTGGGCCAGGGCCAAGGCAGTGGGGGCCGTTCCCTCACTGTTTCCAGGATGGCTTCGCAGGCCACATGAAACCACTTCGCGGGCCACATCCGGCCCCCGGGCCTTGTGTTTGACATGTCTGCTCTTAGGTGATCACAGGACCAGGCAATATTGGGGTAAAATTGCAAAATTCAATCAAACGCAACTACAAAATTCCAGCAACGAAACTGTTTTAAATTAAGAATCAGTATATCTTCTACTCCTTGAGGCGGGGACTTCTTGATTTTCTTTCTAGCTATTTTTCCATCAACTTGGCAAGGAAGGACGTCTCTTCACTGAAAATTGGGGAGCTTGCAGCTGGCTCTTTATATAATAGATTTTTTAAAAAAATTTCTCTAGCCTGGAAAACAATTCTTCCCCCTCTCATAGAAAGATAAGACAAAAAGAAAAAAGAAAGGACAAGTATAAAATGGATTTTTTTTAAAAAAAATATGTATTGGGATTCTAGCTCACACGGAAGCATTCATGATGGCTCACATGACAATCATTTGTATCCATGGAGACTGGCCTTTTAATCAAATCTCTGCTTCAACATGGAGAAGGAAACGGGCTGCTTATGGTTCCTTCTATACTCAACTCAACCTGGGAAAACATAAAATGCCCAACCTTTGTGATATTAATAAACTGTCCATCTTTATTTTCCTGATAAATATTTGATATAGCTCAAACATACCTGTCACATACAGTAACCTCTATGGTCAAAGCACGTCAATCAAAATGCCTTTATTGTGTTGGCCCTTTTCAACATTGTTGGCTTAAAACACTCACACACAACTCTTTGTGATCTGTGCACAGATATTTAAAGGAGGCCTTGTGACTCCTTAATTTTTGCTCCTTGCCAGTATATTTTAGGAGCTGCCATGTACTATAAATAAGTACTCTGATGTGCAAACACTTCTGCGTGTATGTTTGACATTTCAAGCAACAGGTTGATTCTCAATGAAGCCCATGTGAAATATGCTAGGCATCCATTCTTTTCCTCCCCCTGCCCCTGATTAGGAAACTTTTTATATCGACTGACATAAAATAACGTAGTAAACACCATTTTGACACAGAGTTCATGCATATGGAAGCGAGGCCCTGTTTTAATTTAGGATTTCACACCTTCTGAGGTCTCTCTTTCTCACCCTCCCCCCCGCCCCAGCTTTCCTCATAACCACAATCAGTATTTAATGCTCTCCCTGAGGATTCTTCATTTTTATTTGGCACTTTTGTTTTCCCTACATCTCTGTTTTGGGCACTTATCCCACAGATGCATTAAAACCTTCACACTGTCCATTGATCCAAAGATATTTAAAGTTAATCCTTTAAGTAAACCAGGCAATGACCTATGTTTCTGTTTGTCTTTCACTGGGGTTTCTTCAGCAGTCTTCAGCTGCTGTTCCACTCAGATGCCTCTTCCCTTCCCTTTTCCCTTCCCTTCCTACTCCTCCCTTCCCCACCCCTCTCCTCCCTCCCTCCCTCCCTCCCTCCCTCCCTCCCTTCCTTCCTTCCTTCCTTCCTTCCAACACCACTCTAAATGTCAATAAATCCTCCATCACTGAGCTAAAGAGAAGCATGCTTTGGTCCATCCATTTGTTCAAAGACAAGGAATCTTGGGCAGTGTGACTTTATTGATGCAAATGCATGGACCTTGAATTTTGGTCAACCAAACACTAGGTTATAAATCTTAAAAGCAAACAAATACATAATTCTGTGGCTCATGTTAGTCCATTGTTGAAAAATAAAGAATTCCAATTCCAAAGGAAGGGACCACGTCATTTTTCAAATAACACTATCATCAGTCAGCAGATAAATGGGAACAGATAATGGGAACTGCAGTGCAACAAAACTGGCCGATCTGGATCTTCCTTAGCTCGGCATTAGAATAAATATGACAGAATTCTCTGGCTCTGGGAATGTGGATGGATGTGTCCATAATATTGCAGAACAAAAACGAAAATTCTTCTGGCATCAAATAAGTAATTAGCGTTTTCCCCACTAAACCAAGACTCAGTTGGAAAGAAGATCAAAGGCTCTGGGAAGGAAGTCACTTTGAATAGTCACTTCATCGACAATGACTTCCATCATTTTTGAGATTCTATACTTTAATTCCATTCTTATTGTAAAAAAACCTACCTGTTCTGAATCAATCACCTTTCTCAGGTTTACATCGAGGGGCTCAATAGTAGTATCATTGTAATTATCTATTGCTATCCATCATATTTTTCCTAAAGACATTTCCCAAATATTGGGTGCTCAAAAGCATTAAGCAACATGGACCACATATAGTACATTCATGGCTTCCATCCAAAGATAAAGGTTGCCTCTGTCAAGTCATTCCCTCCTCTGGCGGGGGGCTGCTCATCTCGGTTTCTTAGCCAAGAGAACCAGCATTGTCTGAAGACACTTCTGTGGTCATGTGGTCAGCAAAACTATACGTTGAGGCACATGGAACATTGTTACCTTCCCACCAAAGTGGTACCTATTTATCTACTTGCATTTGCTTGCTTTCGAACTGCTAGATGGGCAGGAGCTGGAGCAAGGAACAGGAGCTCACCCCATTGCGTAGTGCTCGGGTCTCAAACCTGGGCTGTCAGCTTTCCAGCTGATCGTCTTAAGTGTCTTTTATCACTGAGAGATCAGCCTCTAAAAACAAGAACAACCCACTTGCATAGAGCCACCTTTTGTAGAATATTCCTCGTGATTAAAACCCCAGCCATTTTGCACCTGTTAATTCTCCAAACGTTGGCTGCCCTTCTCTTCGTGATGCAAACACGCAGTGACAATTTAGTTCCTGCTGCCACTGGCATGACGAGTCAGAGAGCAGATGGTGGCTACTTTAGCTGGTTAATTTTGAGTTTCATTGGAGGTTCTTAGTCATCAGGGCTATTTGTGTCCCAAAAGAGATATGGCAAAAATAAGGGTAAAAGATCTACTGATCGTAAAAGGGCAGGAGAGAAGAATGGGTAGAAAGGGTCACAGTTTCAAATTTGGGAGTATGTGGCTTTGAAGAAGAAATTATTTGAATTATTTAAGGTTGAAGGGATCATTGACATGTGTTCCTCGGGTGAACGGGCAGGGTTTCAGTAGAGAGACAGGAAAGAGGATTTTCAAGCAATTTGGCTCAACGTTCTTGAATTATTTAAGTTACAATTACATATTTACAAGCTCCCTCTCTTTCTTTTTACTCATATATAATATTGTTTCAGTGCTGTTTTTTTCCCCTTAAGATAGTTTTAAGCTTTTGCAGTACCTAAAAATATTGAAACGATTATATATATAGTTGTATTTCTCTTCCTTTACATTTAAATAAATATTTAATTTTGCACAAATTTTACTTATTACCCACTGCAATTTTAATGCAAGAAGAGGTTCTGGGTGATTTCATGGTTTTAGAGTAAGCCACAGAAGATAATTCCACACAGATCATGTTAAATCATAAGCCATGATTTACTGGTTTACTTGATGTCCAGTTCACATAACCACAACAGATCACATTCGTCTAACTGTAATCTCATACACCACTCAAGAGAAGCTAATCTGAATTATAGGAATTTCAGATGACCCAAATCAGCAGACCAATAGAAGACCTCAATCAGTCAGAATAAGAAATCAAGTTTAAGAGACGCAAAAGAAGAAAAAGAATCTCCTTTGAGGGACACGTGAATCCATTTCTGGATTCCAGACTCCGGAGTAAGATTAGGAGGATTCTAAAATTCCACAGCCAGCATGTTGAAACATTTTTCTTCCCCATAAAGATATGGTTTGGCCATAACTGGAACCAGTTTACGAAAAGGTCGCTATGTCCTTGTTCGTCCCACTGCTGTATAGATCTGAGCTGAAGGTTTGAAGGTATCTTACCTGCTTCCCATCCAGAGTGTACAGCTTTTTAACCACTCCTGTCTCCAGCTTTATGGCTTCTGTAATGTCGGTGAGCACCTGCTCAAAAGAATGGGCTGTTTTCTTATTCAGGAGCACACGCACCGCCTTCCTTGGCTTCACTCCGCTCCGGATGATGGTCACCAACTTGGGACGCACAAAATCCTTGTTCTCCTTCGCCTGGGCACTGTTGCTACTAGCCAGAGACTGAGGAGCTTTCATGTTGGCAGAGGTTTTCACATTGACTGACCAGTTTGGGTTTACGTTCTTGGTATACTCCACTTTCTTAAAGAAGTTGTCTGATGAGCACACATAGCTTTCTCCTGCAAAGAAACACAAAATATAGGGATATTTACCAAGAGCAGAAGCAAGCTTTTTTCAGCAGGAAGGATAGCTATAGAGGTTTGGACATCTCTAAAGAGAGAAGTCAAATGTGGAACACAAGTGACTTCTGAAGGACAATCTTGTCTGTCTGTCTGTCTGTCTATCCATCCATCTCTATCATCTTCTCCATCTGGATCTATCTGGTCACCAAGAGTTAGCATCCCCTGTTTGAATACACCTAATTGAAATGCATTTATATGTTTATTTGTTTATTTACTTGATTTATATGGCCACCCAGCTCAACACAGTAACTCTGGGCATCTAACAATATATCAAAACATACCTACAACACAACACAAAAATAAAGCCAATATCTCAATGTTCAGAGAAAATTAGTTTGTCTCCCATTTCTCAGATTTTTACAGTTGATTGATTGATTGGTTGGTTGGTTCATTCGTTCATTCATTTCATTTCATTTCATTTCATTCATTCATTCATTCATTCATTCATTCCAAGATGAAAGAAACAGATGCTAACTGTCCTGTCTTTCATGAGGCGACCCTCCCTCCAGTGGTCTGCAGTTCCTCTGTTTTTTCTGTACTTCCATTAATTCCCAAGAGAAATCATGAGAAGAAGTATAATTTTCCAGTAGCAGCAGTACACTCATTGCTTCCTGGAGAAATAGTGGAAGGATTTATGCTTCCCCTGAAGACTCTGGAAAAATAATTCAAACAGTTGCTTCTAATCCAGTGGAGAGTTTTCACGGGCTGTTTGTGCCTTGCGTCATAAAGGCAGGAAAAATGGGAGGGACAGTGGAGGGGCATTGAAGCACTTCATAGCTCACCACAGTGGTGCAATTGTAGATTTTGTGTCAATCCAACAAAGTAGATCAGATTAAGACACCAATGCCATATAGGTCAAGACTATTTTATGGTGACAAACATGAAAACGGAATCTTGCAAATCTGAAGGTGCTTCCCCATACCTCACTTATCTTTCTGTGAACTATGGAGAGGTTTGTCTGAGACACTTTCTCAAGTTATTTTCTTAGTCTGGGCTCAAGTCCATCTTATCTAACTATTGCCTTGGTAGCAGCTACTCCTCCTTCCTTTGAGGCCATTCCCTCTTCCCTCTGCAGTTGGGCTTGACTACCTAAATGTCTCCAAGTAGTGTCCGCAGGGGAATGATTTTTTTAAAAAGTCAATATGGCAGCCATCATCATGCAATCCAGAAATTATGGGTGCCCATCACTGGAGGCTTTCAACCATTTGTCTGAAATGAGATAGGATTTCCTGCCTGAGCAGGAGCTAGGACGAGAAGACCTCCAAGCCCCTTCCAACTCCATTATTCTGTTAACATAAATTAAGAGGATTGTTGGTTATTTATCTTCTCCACGTCCCTGACTGAAATGACCTCTGCAAATATTATATTTATAGCTTTTTCTCCGGGAGCTCAAGATAGCCTTCAAAATCTGCTAGCAATTTCATCTAAGTGACCTCAACAACAATTGACAAGCCTGTGGAATACAGTAAACATTCCGATTTTGGCATTTTCCCAAGCTACAGAGAAAGGATGCAGGATTTCCTTCCATTTTTGACCGAGCAATGACCGAGCTTCAGGGTTTGCGTGACTCTTTATCCAACAGTTGTGTCTCTCTGAACATTCAATAGATTGTCAAGGAGAACTGATAGGTTGTGGCAGGAGCCTGATAGATTTTAATCAGGGATACATTTTGTTGGGCAATTGAATCCATTGCCCAGAGAAGTCCTTCTCCAAAGGGCGTTTGGAGATGGAGAATTTCTGTGTCACGTTCCTCCTCTATATCAGGAGCTGTGAATGATTGATGTGGCTGAACATCCCCTCAGCTTCAGCTTTGTCCAGATTGTTAGGGTCTGGGGGTAGCAAAACTCAAAGTGGAATGAATACAGGGGCAAGTGGAGAACCAAATTCTAGAAAACACATGTTAAGTTGCTGGCCATGTCTTCTTTCTTTATATTTACCACCTTTGTTTGACAAGGCAGTGCTATGAGGCCTCCAGAAATTGCAAAATTGCACATTTTCAAATTTCAAAAGACATTAAGAAAATAGATGTCAACTCCTCAAAGGAAAGTTAGAGAATTACAGAATTGGAAGAGAACTTCTACTCTGAACTCCTGCTTAAGCAGGAGACCCCAGACCAGTGGTAGGCAACCCTGGCTCTTTTATGACTTGTGGACTTCAACTCCCAGAATTCCTGAGAAGTTGAATTCTGGGAGTTGAAGTCCACGAGTCATAAAAGAGCCAAGGTGGCCTACCCCTGCCCTAGACCATTCCAGACAAATGGTTGTCCAATCTCTTCTAAAGTACCTCCAGTGATGGAGCACCTCAACTTTCCAAAGGCAAGCAGTTTAACTGATTAATTGTCTCATTGACAGAACATTTCTCCTTAATTCTAAGTTGGATCTCTCTCTCAGAAAAGCACAACTTCCTTCCCCTGTCCTTCCCCCTTTCTATAGAGGGACAATTTAGGAATTTTCCTAAATAGAACACAGAATAATAGAATTGGAAGGGACCTTGGAGGTCTCCTAGTCCTGCTCAAGCATGACTTCCAGGATTTCTACCTAGTATGATTTGGGATTCCTGGAGAAATTTTGGAGCCTCTTCTCTTCTCTGACTTGTCTCCTAATTCAAAAACCATAGCTGCCATTTGGCTTCCTCACATTCCACTTTTTTAGACCACATATTTCCTGGGACATCAGAATTTGCGCTCCTTTTTGTTTAAAGATGAGTCTTGATAGAACTCAAATTTTATTTCCGTCTATCTCAGAAAAGTGAAACAGACAGTGTCCCTTACATTAGAATTAAAAAGTAGACAGTTAAACTTGCAAAAAAAAACCCTAATGCTAATTTAGTGTTGGCCAAAATTAATTTTCTCCCCCTCCCTTCCTGCCACCATGCCAAAATATCCTTGCTGGTCCTCACTTGAGGGGTCCTTGGTGCTCTCTGAGCTTGCTTGTTTTCTTGCAGATGTTTCATTACCCAAACTAGGTAACATCATCAGTGCTAGAAGGGCATGGGGTTTGTGGAGGAGAAGGAGAAGGAGAAGGAGAAGGAGAAGGAGAGAAGGAGAAGGAGAAGGAGGACTGTAGGGTCCTTGGTGCTCTCTGAGCTTGGTTGTTTTCTTGCAGATGTTTCATTACCCAACTAGGTAACATCATCAGTACTAGAAGGGCATGGGGTTTGTGGAGGAGAAGGAGGAGAAGGAGAAGGAGAAGGAGGAGAAGGAGAAGGAGAAGGAGGACTGTAGGGTCCTTGGTGCTCTCTGAGCTTGGTTGTTTTCTTGCAGATATTTTATTACCCAACTAGATAACATCATCAGTGCTAGAAGGGCATGGGGTTTGTGGAGGAGAAGGAGAAGGAGAAGGCGGACTGTAGGGTCCTTGGTGCTTTGTTTTCTTGCAGATGTTTCATTACCCAACTAGGTAACATCATCAGTGCTAGTCCTAGGTTGTTACCTAGTTTGAATAATAAAACGTCTGCAAGAAAACAACCAAGCTCAGAGAGCACCAAGGACCCCTCATTTCAATCCTGAGATGGAAATACTCTCCTTTATTGCCCTCGCTTGGTTATAACAGGTTCAAAAAGGGCTTCCTTTGTTCTACATATGGCAAGAATTCCAGTATCTTTTGAAAGGAAAGGTCTAACGGCCTTCGAGGAAATGGGAGACAATAATGATCTCTCTTTTGATGCTCCAGCATTAATAATAATTCCATCTCAAGCAAAGAATAGGAAATACACATGCAATTTAATTTCATCTCCTTCTTCCCCTTGCCCCTTCTGTTTAATCAAGCATAATATAGGAAGATGTATTGGCTGACAATTTTCTCTTCCCCTCTTTTTCTCTCTTGGTGCCTCCTTGAAGAGCTGGCAAAGCAGCACATTTTTAATAAGACAACAAGAAAATGCTGATTAATTTCCTTATTTTAGCTTTGATTTCAAAACAGGGATGTGAAAAGATGAGGCTGTGTGTATTTCAAATTACTTTTGCTTGTCGATTGCCTGGAGAGTTTTCTGAATTAGGAAATGGATTTGGGCAGTATAAATAAATCAATACATCTGTCATCATGGCATACAAGGGATATGCAAATTATCAATGGAGGGGAAGCAGCAATCATACAGGTGGCTGAGAATGGATGGCAAATATTTCCTTGAAGAGACAAAGGAATCTGCCTTCTCCCCAACCCAATCTAGTGATATTTACAGCAAGAACTGTAACCCTATCCTATGAGCAATGAAGATGCTGAAATTCTTGGAATATCACAGTAGGTAATCCTGGAAATCTAGTCCAGGAGCTTTGGTACAAATTAGCACAAACTAATTAATTACTAAAATAATTAATTGATTAGTACTAATTCATTTGGTACAAGTAGAGATTAGGCAAAACCTGGCTCAAAAACAGTAACTGTGGGAAAGAGACCTCGGAGTTCTAGTGGACAATCACTTAAACATGAGCCAGCAGTGTGCAGCCAGAAAAGCTAATGCAATCCTATACCCTAAACAGATGTATAGAATCAAAATCACATGAAGTATTAGTATCGCTTTATAAATTCTTAGTACGGCCACACTTGGAATAATGCATCAGGTTTTGGTCATCACGTTACAAAAAAAGATGTTGAGACTTTGGAAAAAGTGCAGAGAAGAGCAACTAAGATGACGAAGGGCCTGGAGACAAAAACATATAAAGGACAGATGCAGGAATTGGATATGGCTACTCTAGAGCAGAAGTCCCCAACCTTTTGGGCACCAGGAACCGGTAATATGGAGAGATTTTTCTGCGGACCGGAGGGTGCATGGTTTTGTGTGCTGCCTGCATCCTACAGATGGGGCTTTGCTTGTTTATGCAGACAGGTTGCTGGCATACTGCAGCCCGGTACTAGTCCACAGACCAGGGGTTGGGGACCCCTGGTCTAGAAAAATGAAGGACTAGGAGGGACATGATAGTAGTACCGTATATTCTGGCA